CAATAAAACGGACTTATACACTGCCACCACCACGCTTTGTTTGTCATTTCCCAGCTGTCGACCAATTATGATTGCTCAAGAGAAAGATAAGCTATCTAGCTGTGCCACTTCTATGTGTATCTACAAATTTAGTTGCTCCTATGGAGAAAGCTGGCTATATAGGGCAAACAACAACTAGACAGCTGAACAAATGCACCCTTAATGAGCATCTTATTTCCCTCGTGGTTCAGAAAAGGCCAAATAAAATCTATAAGAAGTTCTATGTTGACTCATTTTAGTGATGATGATAAGTGGTCACCATGTGGACATAAGTAGTGCATTCAGAGTTATCCATCGCATTCCATCGAGCCTTTCGAATAGAATTCCACCTCGCCTTCTACACATAGCTGAAGAAGCTATGGGAATTAATTCGAGAGAACAATCCTAGTGTCTTTGCATACAACAAAAGAAGTTTGTTCTACTTTTGTCTCTGGGTTGCTTGCCTGGGTGAATTCTAATCAAAACCCTCCTCCCACCCTTTCTTATTCTTCATTTCCTTCGTACTTTGATGATATTTATTCAAAAAATGATTATCTGTCCACTTCTCCTTTATTATGCTATTATTATTCCCTTGAGTTCCAAATAGAATATAGGGCTGGTATCAACAACAACACATCTCCTCTTTATACTATCTTCTGTCGTCCTCTTCAGCTTGGACCACGATTGCCCACAATCTCTCATCTCCCCCAACTCACACGATCTTCTCCATGTTACCCTCGCACTGACGACCCACTCGTCTGTCCCTTCCCATTTGAATTCCACTCGGGTGATGGATTGTGCACCATGTCATTCGACAGTCTGCCTCCTCAATGTATGCCCAATCAATCCATCTCCATTTTCCACTACAAATTTGCGGAGCAATCGGCTCTTGCCAGTTGGTTTGTTCCAATGCAAAGTTTCTTGTTGCTAATTAATTCTGGCCGGCTGGCCATTTGACCTTCACTATGGAGCGAAAGCAACTATTGATGAAAGCCTGTAACCTGTTGGAAATCCTTTTCGTGATACGCTGGCCAAGTTTCTGACCCGTATGGAAGACTATTTTGACTTTGGTGTTGAAAATGCGAATCTTGTTCCTTTTGTTGAGGTGGAGTGAAGCAGAAGATTTCCATACTGGTTTCAGGTTGATTAGGGTGTATCTTGCTTGTCTTTCCGATTTTTACTGGCTTTGACATCTTCATACGTGCCATCCGCCTGTAGTTGAAATGATGCTGCCTAGCCACCAGACAAATGAAGGAAGTAAACTCCGTTAAATCTCTGCCGTTGACGGTGATTAGTGCTGGTTGCTGTTGTTGTTGTTGCTGTTGGTTGGTTGGTCGGTTATCTACATCACCTCCGTCTCCACCTTCTATATATTCACCTGGATGGAGTCAGTCCTGTCTTCGCTGCCAGCCAGCTTCTTCAGCCAATTCGTAATAATTAACACTAACGAATTTAATGTATTCATCATTAAATAGCATTGCTCTTAATGAACACTGTCACTATTCTTCTTCTTCTTTTCAGGAGTATTGCTGTGCTTTATTATTACCTGGTAAAAAATTAGATAAAGCAATTCGTGATGGTTTACGATGGCTACTCAGCTATATTGAATCAGAAATAACCACACTACAATCACGTGTACACGCTGATATGGCTAGACAAGCAAGAGAACAAGCAATTGAACGTGAAGCTCGGAAAGAAAGAGTTCGCCTAGCCAGAGAAGAAAGAGAACGTTTGGAAAAATTGTCTAACCATAAGAATAAAAAAATACAGCCTAACAATACACCTGTATCAGATAGACTTCATAATGATATTGGTGACATTATGAAGGATGAAAGCATCAATATTGGATTATCTCAGGTAGTGGGAAGTACTACAGCAGGGGATTATGAAGAACAAGTGAGTTCGATTTTGTTAGTATAATTCAGATTTCTGGCAGTACACAAACACACACACACACTGATGCGTTGTGTGATTTTATGTTTGTAAATTTTTTGATGTAGTTGTGTGTTCTCTGAGCTAGCTAGCTAGCTGGATAGTTTATTTGCAAAGCTTTCATTACTGCCCTCCTCCTACTAGGCAGGTAACATCTTTACCGCAGACTTTATTTCACTCATCTTGTTCTAATCACTTTTTTTACTGTTTTACCAAATGCACAGTAAGTTAGATAGGTATCAGCTAAGGGACTGATTGTTGCAGTCAATTCAGTCAGTGTTTTGCATATCAATTTTGGTCTTCTCCTTCAGCATTTCATATATGTATTTCGTGTTTCGTCCTACAACTGCTCAATCAGTTGCTATATTCGCTCCTATTACTTCTCCATTAGTATATTGGCTTAACATACTTATATGTATTCTCGTTTTGACAAACAAACAAACGTGCTTATACGGCATTACTCATTCCATTATGGATAAAATGTTTCATTTTGATAAAGTGTCACACAGTGTGTTTGTGACACAGTAATATTTACTGATGACCATGCTTCAATCACAATTAATCATTGCCACTCACGTAATCATATCAGGGCACTACCCATCACACTCCTCACTTTCTTGCTTCATTTATATACATGAGTAAAAATTGATGATGATTAGACAACATTTGACTGAGTAAAATCAACAATATGAGATAAAGAACATTCGAAAATAATAATAATATGAATGTTATCAATAAAATACAATAAGATGAGGTGAGAAATAAGGTGTTTTTATAGTAAAAAATAAGTAACTTGTTAGAATGTTATAATGTATGTGAGTTGAATCAAAACAGAATTTTAAGATTATTTATTATCCTCCTCTGATTTGACTGACTGACTGGTGGTAATATCTTGCATATCTCTGGTATTAGCTAGCGATGATGATGAGTCACTTCTATTGCATGTGTTGTGTTGTAATGGGTGTGTAGACCCGATGAACCAGGATTCAGTAATCCATCTCCCTCTATATCCACCTAACTACATTACTTTTTAGAATTTTGACTCTGTTCCACCCACCGTGTTGTGTGTTAATGCATGCAGTGCAATGTAGTGCTGAGTTAATTTTTTCTAAATTACTTATCTTCGTGGGTGGGATCAATCATTCTAACTTTAGCTAAATTGTTATATTCTGACAGCCAATTTGACTACGCTGATCTACCGGTCTGTTTGACCTATGTGGTTGACCTAACTCACAGTCATTGCAAAGTATTTTGTAAATGATAATATTTTGTCTAATTAGGTCAACCTACAGGGTCCTTCAACACACCCACAGAGCTTGTCCCATCTGAGTGAGTGAGTTTGTAAGTTTGAATGCCACCACCAAACGAATTCCTGCATAATTGAGAATCCTATGTAGGATGAATCTCAGATGTCCCCTTCCTCCTTATATGGTTAAACTACACTAGATGCCTTATATTCTCTCTTATTTATGTGATCAGTATTAGTTTCACCATTATTTCTATTTTACTTTTGACACCAACTAGCTATTCTTTTATCTGTTTTATTTCATCATGTAGGCTTTTTGTTGTACTACTTAGTAATGTTAGACACGTATGTTAGACACTTGAGTAAATCTGCCTTCACATACATATAGATAACGGATGAGATGAGATATTTTTCCCCCTCCCTACCAGGACTGGTGAAATCTTGTTCGAGTGTGTATGTGTGTATACTCGAACAACGCACAGATTTTTATTTCGACAAAGTGTTGAATCGAACTAATCCGGGTGTGTAACAATTTTACTTTTGTATATATATATATATATAGAAATTTCACATCTTCAACTTAGTTGAAGAAGCCGTTCATATTTCCAAAGTCGTATGAGGGAGCTGAAGTCTCTCTCCTTAAGT